GTGTGTGTGGATGTTTATTTATATTACGTATAGTTGTATACATGTCATGATAATTATGCACACAGTGTTGCTAACGCACTGCTCTGATGCACGTTTGAAAATTATCACGCATACACATTTGTCGTCAATTAATTTCATTTATACCTTGATACACACCCCGAGTAGGAGGATTATTGGTGCACAGCATGTTTTTTGTTAACCACGCGAAGTGGAGCTGAACGTGTTTAAGTGTATGCTTTTATATACCCTAAAGTCTCATGAGTGAATATATGTTTTGTGGCTCCATTAGAAGGAGAGACGTAGAGACTCCATCACTGTTACAAATGTGCACAGATTCTCACCTCGCTGTTGCGCGGACATACTTATGACTCACATCTGTTGGCGCTCACCGCAACACACTCATACAATAGCACCGACATGTCACATTCTCTTGCACACTTCGTGCAGGTGAAATATTTTCTGGACGGTATAAATGAGCGTAGTAGTCAATTAGTGGAACTGTACGCAGACGAAGGGAAAGAGAGACAGACTGAGATGGTAGCTTTAGGTGGTCCCAACGAATTCGCTGAGTTTTACCAACGACTGGCAGCCGTGACTAAGGAATACCGAGCAACACCGGGGCTAATTATCAAGCCTGCGGATATCACACACTCACAGGAGCCAGATGGCTATGTTAATGGCAAACGTACGTGGGTGTGTATTGCGATGCGTGATCGACGTTAGTTCGCAGACTCGGTGTGCGTGCGTGTGTGTGTGTGCGTGTGTGTGTGTGTGCATCTATGTTTATCTCACTTGTTTGCGTATTTGTGTATATATGCTTGAGCTTCTCTATTGCTTGTGCGAGTATATGTGCGTGTGTCTGTGTGTGTACTTGTGTCTTATTCATTTTTACCGAGTTCTACCAAAGAACACCTAGGCCAATTATTAGTTACCCGGATATCACACACTTACAAGCATCAGACGGTTATGCCCATGTGAAGTATAAGTGTCTCGAGTATATAATTATCTTGTGAAGTACTTTTCGTGCTTGGCGTGTGAGTGTGCATGCATATCGTCATATCTCTTGCGCGTGTATACTTTTTTATTTCTGACGTGTTTATACCTTCATATATTTTCTTCTTCTTTGGCGTATCTATAATCTTAGTATTTTTCGTATATCTTTATATCTTTTTTTCGTGTGCATATTCTTATATCTTTGGTGTGTGTATATCGCTAAATCTCCTCGTGTGTGTATCTGTATATCTCTTGCGGGTGTATATATGTGTGCCTGTTCGTAGGCGGTGCACACACTCACTGCTCGTATAAATAGACTATACAATACCTGTGTCACTGCTCGTATAAACAGACTATATACAATGCTTGTCAGATACATGCGTAATTGCCTGTACAGGTGTTTGAATCCAATTTATGCCATCTCCTTATTGTATCTACATCTGCTCCTATAAACAGACTATATGAAACACTCATCATGTCCATGCACAATTGCCTATATAGGAGGTTATACGCGATCCTAATCATTTTATATTTTATCTACCCCCGATGCAGTAGACAATGTGCTATTCTTATAATTCGCTTATTTTATCTTCTCCCACAGCACTGGTGGTGTTCTCGGACGAGGAGCAACACGGAGATTGTTTAGATCTAAACGAGCACTTTAAGGAATTTTTAAATTTAGATATGTTCGAGAAGACAGATTACTTGGACTATCTGACAAAGTTCGACCAATTCTCACACGCACCCCGACAGAAAAAATTCAACCAGAAGTATACGAGGTACGGGTTTCCGGAACCAAGAGTTCACACATATACGTATAATCACGTGATTGTGCCGGTAGTATGTTTTAGGGTTTTAGGGTTTAGGGTTTTAGGGTTTTCTTGTATGTAAAGGTTCAAGGGTCAACCATATTTAACCAGATATATAATTTAACATTTGTTGTGCCTCCAGTTTTTCTGGTGTACCTGTATATAATGTGCCAACATAGTCCAGCTAAAATGATGCACAGTGAGGCATTTTACCAGAAGTAAGTTCTCTCAATATATTGGAATGAAGGTGTCAGCAAAGTGTAACTGAAGTAACAGGTGTAAATATCTTTGCTTTTTTGTCATTATATTGAATATTGTCATCTTGTAGCAACTCAAGGGTTATATCTATACATTTATCTTCATTCGTTCAGTTTACAGGATTAGTACGAAACTGAAGTGTCAGTATCTTTCTTTTGGGTGTATTGTTTATTTGGTTACCCTATAAATTATTCCACTGATATTGTGATCCCTGTTGTTATTTTTGATCTGTATATGTATATTCGAATTTAGGAAAATTCACCGGAAGTAGTGGCCATCCTATTAGAAAACTACGATTTTATACTCACTTTGTCTCGTACTCTATTCAACTATCTTAAAAATTTGGACTAGTACTTGTCAGACGTCTACACGCGCGCATTACCGATAAGTACTCTTGCAGAGGGATTCGATCTGATCTCGATCTCATTCAATATATATATTCCGTTCAAGTACACCTTACTTTCAACCTTTTATGATTTTTCCTGCCCGCATTAACAAGTTATGATACTATTCTCACACCGTTCAGCTATCTTACACATCTGGAGACGTATCTGTCCGATTTCTACACGCGCGCACTACCGTTAAAGAACCTTGCAGAGGAACGCGAACGAATTCAAAGCGAATTCGATGCCAAGTGGAAGGACGGCACGTGCGAAGGCTGGGAATACACTGGCGAGAGTGCCGGTTCCGATCTGTACTGCAAACCTTGTAAGTATATATATATATATATATATATATAATTAGTATATATATATATATATACTAT